CATTTCTGACAGCCGTGTAGGAGAACAGAACGAACTACAGCGTAGTATACTGGTCCTGTAACCAGCAACCAGGCCTCTCATGCTGACGCAACTCCCCAAATAGGTGGAGTGATAGTCACATTCCATCACTTCGTTCCCAATCCCTAAACTGAGAGTAGCTGCGGACCAGTTCTAAAGCATCACCTTATATTTGACAGGTGCAAAACACATGGCAAACATGCTCGAATTTCTGTTCAGAAGACTGTACATTTTGTCAACAACTTAGCAGGATGATATCGTCCACATAATCCTTGTCAACCAGATGACCTTCAAGAAGTGTTTTGGGCCCTTTAAAGTCAGACTTACTTAAGGTTATGTCTATTAGTACATCTATAAAGAAGGTAAACAGAAACGGTGGAAAGGGGCATCCCTGGTGGACACCATAATTTGTCATTAGTTCAGATGACAACTCACCATTCGCCGTTATACAGCTGCAACAGGTTGAGTAGAGAACCTTGATTAGCGTTACATACATTCTCGGTAAGTGTTCCACAGTTAGAGACTGCCACAATCCCTGTCGACCAACAGTGAGATGTCGCCTTCCAGGTCAAGAAATCTTGGTGTTAATTTTGAATGAAGTCGAATATCTCACTTCTTTCCGAGGTTTGTGATGATAGTGTTGCCTCGGATGACAATGAAGGCTTCCCGACTAACCTACCTAACTCAAAGAATTGAAATCATTGTCCTGAGCTACAATTTTACTTCATCTTCTCAATATCAAATTACTATGTAAAAGTCAATTTCATGTTTACTAGAAGTTTAAGGCTATAAACGTAAAACATTAATAAATACTGTCCTTTTAAGTGATCAAGAAATATTCTGCTTTTGTGCATAAATTATTATTTCTGTTGTTTAATCCTTTGTTCATTCACATACTTTCTGCCTATCTTTCTTTCCATCTGTGTCCTTATAAGGTCGACTTTCTATGAACAACTGAAACACTAATAAGAGCTTACAACTTGACCATTTGTTCACCTTTAATTAAAAATTAAAATCTAAATGAACTTAAATTTTATGTATGAATTCATTTTACTAATGCTTTTTCTTGTTTGTAATTGACCTGAAAGGTATCACAAGATACTACTGTTAAAGAACTGAATGAGTAGTATGGTACTATTGATTCATAAAACAAATAATAAAACTTTTTAATAAACTGGCAATAAATAGTTAAAGTTGGTATACATGAAGCTTATTGTTACTTCAAGCTGTTTGTACAGGAAACAGAGCGAGGGTGTTCATACTTCCTTACGAATTCAAAATCGCGATACATAGCGCTGCAGTCAGAGATGCTACACATTGACTGTTTGGCTCGTAACTGACCATCACGGTATTAATTGCGTTGTAAGGAAGTCTGGGACTGAAAAGTTGTTTCATCTTTAGTGCTAGTCAAATTCTGTCAATGAACTCCACAATGTCAAGGGATACATTTTCCAGCTTCGGAGTTAGCTCATTCGGAGATGTAGTTACTTATGCCTTACCAATAAGTCCCAGTAACTGGAGGAGGTTCCTGCAGAGAAAACACTACAAGGATGAGTCATCCTGTTGATGACCACGTTGTAGCTTTATTCGACGGAACGTAATTAGTACTGATGACTTAACTGGATGAAATTGGTTAGTTTTCAGTGCCTGATTAGCATATAAAGTTTGTTGTGACATCTTAATTGATATTGGAAGTTTATTACATGCACAGTCCAAGTCAAGAAAGCAACAGAACCACCAACACACCCACAATCCAATCTGAAATCACTGTATCACCAGGGGTTATATTGTTTTTGATCTGTGGTCAGTCAGAAGTTACTGACAGTTTTCGACTTGCTGGTTAGTTAAAGGTTAGAAAGTCAAGTTAGTTCCCAACCACCATGTTTTTGTAAACTTTTGAAGTATGCATCAGGGCCCAGTGTGACAGAAACATCTAGCACTAGATAGTTACTGCTGTCTTGGATTGATCCTGGAGGATATACTGCGCTTACCAGGAGAATTAACTACGCATTGAAAAATAACACATAACACTTCCTAAAGAGTTAACTCAAAGCACCTGTTCACCGTTAACTGGTCAAACAGTCTTGTCATAGAATATTAAACAAATTTCTGACCACTATCTGGTGTCAGTGATTTCAATTTCGTTGCTACCGAAATCGCAGACTGAAGCAATCGGTTAAAAGATTCAGCTGACTTCTGATTAGACACACGTATATGGCTAAGCTGCTTAGTCACCAATGGATTTCAAAACTGATTAGAACTAAGGAATGATGACAACAGCCAGCGAAGACACATAGGGTACTGAATAGCCACTCCCAGTGTAGGGAAATATATAAAAACATTTCCAAGGGTACAGAATGTCTATGTTAATGTAGAAAATGAAAGAACAGGATAATTTCAAGAAGAATTCCATAGAAACCTTCTCTACTTTTCCATGGAAGTGTCTATAGAGGAGCTAAACCAAACTTGTATGCTTAAATGTATCCAGACAGCTGTGGAAAATTTTATCTTTGGAACCACAAGTCATTCTAATCTCTTCTTTTAGCCCGCATCAATATACTTCAGTTGAATCCTTGTAAGTACCAGTAATTGCACCAACAAATTTAGAGAAATTATCCAATACTTTATGAACATCAAATAAAGAAATTACACTTTCTTTATATGTAGTACAGTAATTTTACACCGAAATCGATAGCTTTTGTTTGTATACAAGTCCCTCATCCATACAATACTGGAAAACAGTATCAAAAAAGTACTGCGCACGCAGGGAGCGTACATCATTTATTTTGAATAGTCTACTTATTAACCTGCCTGCTATCTGATTGGTCAACTAAATTCATGCGCGCCCTTTTTACTTATGTTTTGTATTACTTAACAGTTGACTCTAGAGACCCCCCGAGCAATAGCTGAAATGACCATTTACGTTTCTTCATTCTATAAAAACCTAATTTTTTCTGTGTTCCAAGATTTTTAACGGTTCTCCAAATGATGTCAGTTCGTGATGAATAAATACTATCTTGAAGCAACTGCCTGTTACAATAATTTCTAAGATGACCTCCACAGTCATTTTTCCTTAACTTCCCTCATAAACTATATAAATGTAAGGTCTTTTAGGTGGATAGAGGGGATCTGTAGGTAGCCCTGAACTTAAGTTTCATGCTTGTTGGCGCTCGTCAGCCACATGAGTCGACAACACTGACGGAACCAATGTCCGGTATAAGATGTCAAACAGAGTCCACTAGCGCTGCAGTCAGAGAACTTACCACTGAATTACTCACGTCACGATTGACCTCATGTTGAACTGCATTAGGTAAATCGACTGGTCATATCTTTCAGACTAAGTTTCCTGGCTTTGTGGTCGCATTGCAAAATTATTGATCGAACTGGGTCAGTACAAGACTGGACAACATGAAGTTGGTTGCCCTTCATTGATCAACTACTATGTGCAGTCCACGTATATAGGAGGTCAGTCGCGGCACAAATACCTCAGTGGCAACGTCTGTGACTGCAGCGATGCCTGATGCTGGTTTGAATCTCAGGTGGGACGTCAAATTCATCGAGGCTGCATATACGCTTTACAAGCAAAACACTTAGGTCCAGGGCTTCCTACAGCTTGCCTCCCCCCAACTAACATTAAAATAATTACTTGGTTGGAGAGGCTGATCAATGAAACTGTATTCATCCAATGCATGTGATAAGAATGACTCAATGCCTTCCCCTGATATTAGAAAAATGTTACCATCATTAAAATTAAAAAGTGCATGTGAGTAGAGTTATAGAAAACAAAGCTGTGTGATCACCTTGGTTGGATTATGAGCACTAAATTGTGCTGAGAATGGTATCCAGCAAATAACACTGCATTACTGTGTATTATGTCAAATAAACTTATTCATTATGGAGCTGCGGCAAATATTCTAATGCAAAATATCTTACATCATCGTAAAGTTGCTTTTCAATACTTGATTTATTCTGGCAGTCTTTAAAGTGGATGATATACGAACATGTTGCATAATGATTTGTCAGGGGAGTAAAAATAAATTGTTTGCTCTGGCTTTCTATCCATTGTGTAACTTTTACAGTAAAATAATTATTTCTGAGACTAAGCAAGTTCAGGAATATATCAATATAATAAATTGAATTATTTTGAAATTCATTCACCGAAACGCTACAAATCTCACGAACAATAAAATGTTATCGTACAAGAACTGACCACCTAGTGAAGGGTTCAGTCGATGGATATCGAGAATTTTATCTACTACTATTACTACTGCTACCACTACTACTACTTCAACTATTACGCCGGAGTAAATGGACTAGGAATAAGTAAACAAATAACCCAAAGTAACAACATATGATTAGTCATAGGAGAAAAGGACTGAAAGAGCGTAAATATCTTTTCTTGCTTTCGATTGCAAAATAATTTCCAGAATTATTTATCCAAGTGCGTATATATATATATATATATATATATATGGATTTGTGATGTAAACAAGCCAGACTAGTGGTATATCATCTTCACTATACTGAGAGAGAAGACATACGTGAAAGACAGAATGAGAGAGATGGTTTGTTTCAAAATCACAACACAGCCAACATTAATTACAGTCTTTTTTTTCCAATGAAGGTCATTTTAACAAGGCTTCATTCAACAGAACTTTAAATGTAGTCTTTATGGTAAAATTTTGATTAAAATAAACAACTTAGTAAATAAACAACTTCAGACTTTATAAACTGAAGGTCTGACATCGATGAAGAAACAAGCGCAAAAATAAATCAATGAACTCCGTCAGGAATGATAACTATGCTGTTGTACTGCACTGTTGTTCTTGTTTGATGTTGACAATTCTTATTGTAAGTCGAAAAAAAGATAAAAGAACTCGTGTACTGTTGTGTGAACATGTTCACACAAACGTCTGTCTGTCTGTCTATCAGTATGTGTTTTTAAAAGTAAATGTATCTGAACAAAAGATGTAACTTTTTGAGCGTAATGCTTGCTGGCTGGTGAATGAGGCTTAAAGTAGACTAATTAATTGTGGAAGTCACAGAAACACAAACCAGTAGACAATTTCTACCATAGAATGATCATTGTGCCATATACAATAATCATACTGGAGTTATTCAGTAAGTTTATAGTCATCAGTTGTATATTTGGTTTTATGAAATTCACGAAAATTATCCTACAATTGTTAATCAGTTTCTATTGTGAAGGAAGACTGATAACTGCTACTCAGTTGATAATGCTAATTTCAACGGTGGTTTAATTCGTAGAGGCTATTGGTTGGGTAGAACACACGCATTCCATCCCATATGAGTCGTGTAGGCTGAATGGACCAGTACGCTTGAAAGTGTTCAGGCCTCTGTGCTTACTCAAATCTCACACTCAAAGGTTAAATGGTCAAGCTTTCAGTGAACTCAAATACGGAATAAGAGTTGTCTCTTGGCTAAACGTGACATTACGTATTAGTGTAACAAGGAATTGAAAGTATGGGCTAATTATTTACACATTGTACCATTCGGGTTGATGTTTCTTTGGGTTCAGTTGGTTTTTGATTTCTCAAGAGTATTGGAAACCTTTGAGTTTACATCAAACATTCTGAGATATAACGCAAAGGTACCGTGAACTTACAATAGACACTACCGATTAAAATGAGGAGTAAGGAAGGATAGTGGATGGTTTTCAGACTTTAAATATCAGATCAGAGTGATCTGAACACTGGACTATCATCTTGTCCATTTTGCATGGATGCCATCAGCTCCACACCTGGTCAGTTCTACACCACATAATAACCGATAGTTTTAGGTCAGCTAAATCTAACTATCTGAATCAGTGTGATTCACTATAGACTCATAGAAGAGATTCAGATAAGACGAAGAATTTCTTGATCATAAGTGATGGAGGTCTGACCAATGGTTACTGATTATGTCGATTTTCTTCTGACAACTGTTGATGGATTTGATCTCTTTCCTGACTGGTTACTTTGACTCATTATGAATTCTGATAAATGATAGTCACAAATGAAAAATCCGAAATAGTATAACCGTATATATGAAGAGAAGGTGTAGACCATATATTTGGCATTGATCCTTGAATGATGACTTCCCTATTCCATCCATGTAGAAGTCATACTTGTATGTTATTGAGGATAAACACCGTGGGAATCAGAGGGTATTAGAGTTTTCCAGTTCTACGCAACTAATCGCTATTAATGTTCACATACGATAAAAACACACCTGAGGGTAACTTGGAATCTTCATCCCGATAGTGCGTAACTGCAAGATGACGTCGTAAGTTTAACCGAGAAGTTCCTTTAATAGCATTTTTGACTTAATGAATTTCATTCTCAGCGTTCATGTCCCAAAATAAACCATGATAGAATTTGGCAGCTAGATTTCAGATATTTGTGTGATTCGGGTCACTGAGTGATAATTTTATCAACACTAACTTTCTCGTAGTAGTTAGTTTTTTTTTGTAACTCCTAGTAGTTATCGATTAAAAAGTATATGTCTTCGAAGGTAATGAATATTTGTGTTCTCATCTTTAGAATAAGCTATTTAACACTAAAGATGTTACCTGCATGTATGATTTCCAGACTTTTCATGTGTAAAAAATTATCTAACATTTTGTTTGCAGTCATTCACACCAGCGGCTGATGAGTTTCATTTTTCTAAGGACAAAATAATTATACTCTGAGTGGCTGCTGGGAAGTCACCAGTTTCATTTTGCCTTGCTTTACAAGCTGACCACATCCAATTGATCAATTTACGATGTAGTCATCAAGGTAGAGGACACAGTATTGCAGTGCACCGTGATAGAAGCCATGCTGGCTGTCTCCAGCCAATTAACATAAAACAACCATCTATCACATCGTAATCTTAAACCTTTTTTTTGACTGATAATGGATTGAAAAGAAAACCTGGATGGTTAGAATCCCAGTACAGTGCAGCCTTTTTCATTCCTAATCGATACCCAATTATTCAGGACTATTCTGTCAATCTAAAGTTGCCCCATATAGTCGCAATAGTAATAATAGTGATAAACATACCTATGGTATTAGTACTACTGGGATAAATCACCCGCCTGGTGCATAAATTAGTGTAATCTGACTGTGATAAGCTTACTTTGATACCTTTTAAACAAAAGGGTTAAATGAACCAGACCTTAAATGAGTGGCCTAAAACAGTAACCCCATTATATAGTAACCGCATGATGAGAGTTCAGTGCAATGTGAAACCTACAGATGTTAAGAGTTTGTGTACGTTAGTTGGACAGATTTGTAGACATTTGGCTAGTTATACTTGTAAACGTCCGAAGCATAGATAATTCTGCACTACCGTGAGTGTTGTACAGTTATACATTTCACTGAGTAGTATAACTCGAATACGAGTGTAACTACGAGCACTTTAACCCTTAAAAAACGTATGCTTTCTTGTATCTCAAGTACCAAACAGTAATGACGATTGTTTCCAAGAAGGTTGACGTTTCAAACAGAACTCCTGTTAAGAATAGTTTTACTCCCGTCAAATCGATTTAATGTATTCGAACAGCTTAGGCCTCACCAATGAATTAACTGGTCACAGAAAAAAGAAACTATTATGATGTTATTTATTGGTATACTTGTAATTCACCGTTGTTGGATTGAATTGTTTGACCTCTATTGGCACATAGGCTCCTATGCGGATGTTGCCTGGTCTTAAGGGTTTATATGGATCCTTTTATTTTATTTCATAGATATTGATCAGCTTCATATAACCCAAAAATTACAATGGCTGCAGGAACAAAAATGTATAAAAGGAACCACTTTAACGATAAAATATTAGAATGTAGCACATATAACACTGTAAAATTAGGGAATCCAAACTATTGTGAAAGCCAAAATCGTAAACTGTAGATTAAAATAAGCACTAATTTACAGATTGTTAAATAGAAGGTTCAAGATTTGAAAAGAAGAGCATTGAATATAAGCGAAGAAACAAGTAATAACAGCTGGTTGGCTGTCCTGCTTTTTGGTGAAACGAGTCCAAAATACAGTCAATATGGTGGGGGGAAACTGGTCTCATGCTTTCAATTTACGCATAGGTCTGGTTGAAAGGGTTTTTTAGTGACTGCTTCAAAAAAGAGAAGTAGTTGGTGCAATTTCTTTTGACATTTTAAATGTTTTGAAAGTGTTAGAAGCATCAAACTGTTATCTGCTGTCCACCGCAGAGTGAGTAATTGGACTCGTCACAAGACTGCTTCCCTCCAAGCATAACTTGTTTGTAGTGTGCTCAGAAAATTCAGAGGAAGTATTCTCTTCCATCGTTTTACTTTGATTCTGACCTTAGTGAATGTTAAATCGATTAGAGGTGATGTCAGTGGAATATTTCTCTACCTTGAACTGATCTATGGAGATACCATTAGTGAGATTCGATCAACTCTCTTCGCCTCATTTAAGAAGAATACAAAAGGAGGAAAGGTAACACAGAGTAAATGATACTTTTATCATTCCAAAATGCAGATAAATGAAAAATCCTCGGAGCAATCGGTTTAATATATATATATATATATATATATATATATATATATATATATATATATACCAAAATCTCACCCTGTAATAACTATGTAAGATAACTTACTAGTGGGAAGCAGGAGTAAAACTTGGGCATTGTCGTAGGCTGTAATTCCATTTTAGTCTCACTATTCGTTTTGTTTCATAGTGAAACAGTACTATTTAGTGGTTAAAGTTTCAGATACTATTCACTGTCCATATTCATATCACGTTACTCCACAACTTTAAGATATAGATCATATTAGTTCTAATTCTCTTTTTCTTTGTCATAAGGGTAGTAGAGTTTTCCGCAAATCTGAATTGGATCCAGAATCATTCCTATCGCGTATATTTGAGATGAGATGCCAGGCATTTTGTTTCTGAGGTATGCTAATATTCTATGCTATTCAATATCAAGCTTCCACCTTAGATCCTTCGCCAAGAGCCTAGTCCTAGCTGAGTAGACGAGAATTCGTAATTGTTCTAGTACTTAAGTTGTTGACCATTTTCCTCTACAAAGGCTTACTTTTGATTATTTATAGTGATAATTATCAGTGGAGTCTTGGATAGATGTTACTACGTTTTAATGATTTCTTCCCTTTGGACTTAATGGCCCGTTCATAATAACTGAGCAGTGGATACTGGTTTAGAATCTTGCTAGAAAAACTAGGACTAATGAATTTACATCTAGCTGATGGGTCATGAATGGAAAGAAATAAACATCTTAGATTTCACCAATAACTATGACCAATATATGATGATAGACATTTTATCGGTGTGTAGACGATATCCCGTATGTCAGCAGATGGGTTGATTAATCCAGCGCTGGGAGTTCAATAACTGGAAGACAAGCCTTTATCTTCCTATTCATCCTTATCTTCCCAGTAACTTCATCTGATTCGATGAACAACTGGCATCATTATTATTTATCACTGACAGTTTCATACTATAATATCTTTATTGCAACTGAGAAATCCACCATCTATCACATGCATATCATACCGTCTACTGCACTGCTTTGAATAATCTAACCTTTTGGCTCATTTGCATATATTTTTATATTAAAATGTATCACATTCTACTAGGCTTACATTTATAGGGCGGTTCAGCTGATGAAGTTCATTGAAATCTGTGATGCCATACATGAAATTTTGCCTTTCTTCACATTCTTTGCTATTTTTTTTCAAATTTACATCTCGAAATAAATATTCACAAGTTGGGGATGGAGTGTTAGTTCATTCCCAAAGAGCAAAGTATTTGCATATTTCTTGAGAAATTTGAACAAAGCAAGAAAAATGATATTTGCAGAATAAAATGTGCCCATTTGAATTTTTATAGCTTCTCATCAGTTTCAAACAGTTTAATAATCTCAACAGTCATGATCAACAAATAAATATTTAACATAATTTAACTATTTCAGGCAAAGATCAAGCTCAAAACTAATAGTACACCAACAAATTAAGGAAACATGGAAGCGAAACAGTCAAATAATCAAAATAGGGATTTACTTGCACATATAATATGATAAAAGGTAGTGAAACCATAAAGGAGTGGCATAATGGACTCACTGAAAAATCAAGAATGCGTTCTGAT